TATCCCGGCAGCCTGCCTCCAGAACTCCGGGTGAACTCAGATGAGCCTCCAGGGCCCCCTGAGCGAGTTGGACTTTCTCAATTCCATCTAGAGCCGGAAACTCAAAATCCAGAGACCCTTGAACACACCCAATCCTCTTTACTCCAGCAAGAAGCCCCAGGGCAGTTTCCACAGCTCCCTGAGGAGGAAGAACCTTCTTCCACCCAGCAGGAGGCCCTAGCTCTGCCTCCAGCATCCTCTATGGAAAGTCTAACTCTACCAAATCGTGAGGTGACAGTTCAGCCTCCAGGTGAGGATCAAGCTCATTATAACTTGCCTAGCATTACAGTTAAACCTGCAGATGTGGAGGTTCCTGTGACTCCAGAGGCTGAAAACGAGACAGAATCTTCCGAAGTCCTGCAGGAGTCCCCAGGTCAGCCTCCAGAGGAGGTGGAACCTTTTGCAACCCAACAGGAGCCCCCAACTGAGCCTCCAGGTCCTCCTATGGAGCTTGAACTTTCCCCTAGTGAGCAGGAGCAGCCAGCTCAGCCTTCTGAGTCTTCTGGGGAGGTTGAATCTTCTCCAGCCCAGCAGGAGGCCCCAGCTCAGCCCTCAGAACATCATGAAGTCACAGTTTCACCTCCTGGTCACCATCAAACTCAGCATTCAGATTTTCCCAATGTCTCTGTTAAGCCTCCAGATGTGCAGCTCACCATAGCAACAGAGCCTAGTGCAGAGGTGGGAACTTCTCCAGTCCTCCAGGAGGCTACAGCTCAGCTCTCAGGGCCAGGTAATGATGTAGAACCTCCCACCATCCAGCACGGGGGCCCACCTCTGCCTCCAGAGTCACTGGAAGAGGCTGGACCTTCAGCAATTCAACAGACTTCAGTTCAATCTCCGGAACCTGTTAATAATGAGAACCCCTCTCCAACCCAGCAGGAGGCTGCAGCTGAGCATCCAGAGACCGCTGAGGAGGGTGAGTCTTCTCTAACCCAGCAGGAGGCCCCAGCTCAGACTCCAGAGCTCCCTAATGTAGTTGTAGCTCAACCTCCAGAGCATCATGAGGTAACAGTTTCCCCTCTAAGTCATGATCAAGTTCAGCTTCCAACATTGCACCATGTCACTGTTAATCCTGTGGATCACGTGGTTACCATGACTCCAGATTTCACTAATCAGGTTGAACTGTTAACTCAACAGGGGGCCCCAGCTCAACCCGTAATGTCCCCTGAGCAGTTTCAACATTTGAAAGACCAGCAAGACATTATAACTCAGCAGCTAAATAGAACTGAAAATTATGAACTTCCTCCAGTCCATAAAGAGCCCACAACTCAGCCTCCAACTCAGCTCTCCTCAGAGTTTGAAAGTTCACTGAATGATGAAGCAATAGGTTCACCTCTATATATGTCACATCTAGATGTAGATATGGGGCTTACCAGACCTACAGCAGTCACTATGCGGGTACAACCTTCTCCAGTCCAGCAGGACAATCCTTCTGTTCCCACTGAGCAGGCTGACTTTTCTCTAGCCCAGCCTGATCTCCCTTCCCCACTTCTGCATTCTCCTGAAAAGACTGAATCTCCAGTCCAGCAAGAGTCCACAGCTCAGATTCCAGATTCCTCTAAGGAGGCAGAACCTTCTCCAGTCCAGCAAGAGTTCCCAGCTGAGCCACCAAAGCCCCCTAAGGAGGTTAACCCATCTGCAACCCAGCAGGAAGCCTCAGGTCCTCCTCTGAAGTCCACTGAAGAGATCAGTCCTCCACTGCAGCAGGAGATACCAGTTCAGCCATCAGAGCCACCTGAGATGGTCGAGCTATCTCCAGTCCTACAGCAGGCCCCAACTCAACTTTTAGAGCGACCTAAAGAGGTAGAATCCTCTCCAGTACAGCAGGCAGTCCCTGCTCAGTCTTCAGACCCCCCTATGGTGATAGAACCCTCTCTGACCCAGCAGATGGCCCCATCTTTATCTCCAGAGTTCCCTCAGGAGGTGGAACCATCTCTAACTCAGGAGGAGGTTCCAGCTCAGATTCCAGAGTCCCCTATGGAGGCAGAACCTGCTCTGACCCAGCAGGAGGCCACAGTTCAGGCTCCAGAGCCCCCTAAGGAGGTAGAACCTTCAAGGCAGCAAATGGTCCCAGCTCAGCTTCCAGAGCCGTCTAAGGAGGTTGCAGCTCAACCTCTAGCTCATGATGAGGTGACAGGCCCAACACCAGGTCAGGATCAAGCTCAGCATTCAACATTGCCCAGTGTCACAGTTCAGTCTTTGGACCTGGGACTTACCATCGTTCCAGAACCCACTATGGAGGTTGAATATTCTACACCCCTGAAGAAGACTATAGTTCCTGCAAAGCACCTTAAGGTGACACTTCCACATCCAGACCAGGTTCAGACTCAGCATTCACACCTGACTCAAGCCACAGTTCAACCTTTGGACCTAGGGTTTACCATCACTCCAGAATCC